CCATGAAACCCAACAGTGATCATTAGCACTGAATTGCACAATAGACCTAATTATGGCCGGATGAATCGTTTGTTCCATGCAAGTAATATTTCCCATTAAAATGTACGGGGTATATGTAAGTGTTAGTTGCTTCATAGCTTAAAAGATAGAAAATCTTAATACCTTAGTAAATTAAAAAACAATAATAAAAATTAAAAAGGGACCGACGAGCTTAATCGTCGATCCCACATCATGGAGGTTAATTCTCTGTTATTTCATCAGTCTGCCCGTTATATTTCTTCGTATCCTGCACAACATCAAGATATGCACCCCACACTTTATAGTAGGCTGAACACAGTGCATCAAAGAGCTCAAAGATTCGCGGATCATCCAGCGGACATTTCTGCAGGATATTCGCTACAGCCAAGTGAACCAGCCTTATATAATATGCGGCCACATCACCTGAACGTGCATGAGAAGAATGTACATACCCATCAGCTATATAGATTTCCGCATGGGTCGGTCGGGCCACGATGCCAAATCTGCCATTATTTAACTCAATAAAATATGTACGCTTGTCAGACTCATTCTCCACATGAACATCAATGGGCATACAATACTTCTTAGCGATCTCAGCGATCTTAGTAGGATATTCCATTGTCTCAATGTCAAAACTCGTATGAACGGCGTTGTATGCCTTGCGAGCAGCCTTGTCAGCTTCAACATACTTATTAGTCAGCTTAGCTCTGTAAGTACATAGTTCCTTAAACCATTTTACAAGGTCAGTAGGTTCATCGATAACCTGATTGTCGTTAGCGTCGCGAGTCCATTTAACCTTAAAACAACGAGCGCCGTCATCAACGGGATTCCAGTGTCCCCATTCGTCATGTCCATCAGTATGCGAATGCAGCTTAGCTGATATAATAGGCAACGGCTTGTCGTCACGTCTAAACTCATAGTTGATCTGGTAATGATCGCCACCCGTTGTTGCATTGGTATTAGTATAATACTTTCCTTCGCCTCGGGTAATCTTGATGGTAATAATAAATACCCCGTCATACCACGTATGCTGGAGAGATTCATACCTGCCTTCAAATCTCGTTACCACATTGGGGTGATAACCGGTTTGAAAGAAGGTTCGTGTCTCCCAGGTAAAGTCAGGGAATGTCTCAGCCAGGTAGCGCTGAATAATACCATAAGTCTTATCTTCTTCGACCTGCATCTTTCTATATTCCGGAACGTACTCTTCCACATTAGGGCTATCAGATAGCCACACGACGTCTGTGGCATATTTATTTGTAAGTTCTACGAGCATAATAACCTCACGTTTGTTTTAAATATAGAAAAGTATTAACGGGCTTTAAACTTAATTCTAAACGAATTTTTCTTTCGTTACTTCAGCACACTAATAGCCTTGCCTGTTGCCAAGTTGTGTGCTGCAATCTTAGCCTTGCCAAGGTCATCCGCCTTAATAGCATCGATAATCGACACAATCGCAGTTTTGAAGAAGTTCGCGTCATCAGTAAGACGCTTAACACTCGTACGGTCCATAGCAGACTTATCCCACCCAAACAGCTTATTCATTTCGCCAATTACACTCTGTTCATGTGCAGGATACGTATATTCATTATTATACCTGAAGAAACTGTCCTTAAACTTGGAACCGTCGCCAATCCAACAGATCTTAAACTTCAGCTTATCCTTAACAATATCATGTGTGACATTGAAGTCAATAGCTGTTACGGCCTTAATTAACTTCTTACTAATATAATCGTCAGGCACCAACTTGCTATGATTGTTCCAGCCATAAGCCCACTTAGAGTCCTTCAGCGTATAAGGAATGTTGTAGCGGAATGTCAGCTTAACTGCGGTGTTATTCTTCGGCGCACTGCCACAGCTTGTTATAACAAGCTTATCATAGTCGGGCAAGGCCTTCAAGAAGTCCCTGATCTTCTTATAACTATCCACACGTTTAATCATAATATCGATCTGTTCATCAATGCCAATTGTATGTTTTGCTGTAGACATGTTAAATTCTCCGTGTTTTATCTTAATATAGAAAAACGACTTAATTCAGTAAATAAAAATCTAAACTAAATTATTTCTCATAGCTTCTCAAGTGCATGTTCTACTTCAAGGTTATGATTATACTTAGCAACCCACATTTCCCAATCGGTGTCATCAGGCCCATGGAATTCATCATCGATCTTTAAACCGTCATTAAGACCATGGCCATAAAAATACCAATGGTCTGGATGGCAATTTGTATCAACAAAGCTCACCTTCCATGATACCTGACCATCGAATACCTTAGTAATTCTAAGCACTTTCGCTATGACTTCTATTTTCATTTTACCAAATGCAGAATAATGGATTTCTACCATAAATTCTCCAGGGCGTTTTCTATTTCAATGTTATGACTATACTTAGCAACCCATATTTCCCAATCGACGTCATCTGGACCATGGAATTCATCATCGAACTTTAAACCGTCATTACTCCCATCAGCAAAAAGATACAAATCATTCTTATTGCCTTTAATATCCACAAAGACCACATTCCACGATGGTGTCCCGCTTATACTCTTAGTAATACTAAGCACTTTCGATATAACTTCAATTCCCATGCTATTAAATGCAGAATAATGGATTTCTATCATAATACCGCCAGGATGCTGTCAATGTTGCTGTTATAGTTTACAATTTCCATATGCTGGATGAGTTTATCGAAGTCATTCCATTCTCTTGTACCGTCATTCAATGAATCACCCTTTGACGGATTAACAATGACATTCCACATAGAACCCTTACTAGATAGCAGTTCAACCCTAATTACATATTCGCCGTCAGGTAATTTGTTAATCTTTAATATCTTTTCATAGTCATTTGAATATTCAATAGTACCAGCAGCTCTAGTTCTACGTTTAGTGATTGTAATCATATATACCTCTTTGATTATAAAGATAGAAAAATATATGCCGATTTTAAATATATTTAACTAAATATTTTTTCTCTCGTTATTACCTTAATATACTTAATAGGCCATGGCGCTTATGTAGTAAAATATATCTTAATATAATGGTGTTCGGTTTTAATATAATTTACTATATTATTAACAAATGGAGTTTATGCCATGGAAATAAAACTTTTTGATTATTGTTTTAAGGTTCCTACAACCAGCATGTTTGCAAATATTGATATGCGTCACAAGTTCAGAGATGCTATTGACGCTATTAGGGAATCTGAAACAGGTTTGTGGGTTTCTCGTTTCTCATCTTACAAGAACACAAAACTTACTGAAACTTTGGCGTTCCGCATGGAATACAAGCTAGATAAGGCAACAAGAGAACGTTGTGAATGCCTTGGTTATTGTGACTATGATGTAATTATTTGGGAATGTACGTTTATACACAATAAATCATCGAAAGAAATCCAGTTCCAGTACAGGGCAAGAAAAATGCCTGTGCACTATTATGTTAACTTCCCAGGGAAGATCGATATCCTTAATTATGACCTTAGTCAAATCACAGTCAATATGATTAAAGATGTTGATAACGTTTTAACATACATTAACGATGCATACATTCAAAAGGTCAATGATGTAAACGAAAAAGCTATCGAATGGATGAGTCTCCCGGATGACATTATTGAAACCTGTGCTAAATATGGTTATAACGTTGTGCATGATGACACTGATGACCCAATTGTTAACCAGCTGATGGATGACAATAGTGCTTTATTGTATTTCTATAATGCTGAAGACGAAGATGAATGTCTGAAAGTTGAATATGCTGAAGGTATATGGAATGTCTGCGGTGATGGTGACATTATCGATGGGATCATTGGCATGATGGCGCATAAGGACGACTATTTAACTGTGTATTTCAAAAATATCAAAGACATGCTGTATGGTATTGAATGCATTGCTAAGGTTAGGGGTTTAATGAAAACCACGGCTGACGAGTTTAAAAATAATTATAAAAAACTTAGGCCTAAGCGTTTTGAATAATCTATATTTAATAAAAACGGAGAGTTAAACATGATTTCAAAATATGTGTTTGGCAAGACTATTAAAATAGCAACAAAGAGCTTTTTCAATACTCCCAATATAGAAGAGTTGATGCCGTCTTCAGCTTGCTACACTAGAAACGGGCTGGAATACTGGGTTGGTGATGTCAGCTACAAGAATAGCAGAGAGACTGAGACGTTTCATTTTACTGTAAACGTCCATAATTCCGATATTGTAGACGTGCATGTACATGATGTGCTGAATCTGCGTAATCACAATGAAATCCAATTTAAACTTAACAACAACAAAACAACTAAGGGAATTACGTTGAACGTTGGGATTCAATATGATTCCGAGATGTTCTATGTATTGCCTGATACTCCCCATAAGTTTGAACATGTTATTACTTCCCCTGAAGAAATAATGGACTTGGTTAAGGGATATGTTTTACAGTATACTGCTACAGTTAAACAATGGTATGTTGCAGCCAATAACAAAAACAATGAACTTGCCATTGACTACGCGGGCTTAACACATACTATTACTGATATGTTCGAAACTGCAGGTTATAAGACTATTCGTAATGAAGAAACCGATGAATTCGATACAGCTACAAAAACCTGTAGGTTCTGGTTCAAGCTTGGGTTTATACATGATTTCAATTTCAACATTTGTATCAACCCTGCAGCACAGCATCCGATTATCTTTAAGTCTACTGACAACGACTTTCTCCGTTATGCCGTTGTCTATTGCATTGACAAAGCACTAGATAATGACGATGAAGAAAATCAACTACACCCCAAGAAGCTGTTTTTTGATTCACAGGAAGATTTGTTGACCTACCTCAAAGCCATGTTGAAGCTGACTAAACAAATCATGGACAGCGCTAACGCGATAAAAAATATGTGTCACATTAGTATACAACAAATCGACTAATTGCTATATTTTAACCGGAGGTTTCAATAATGGAACGATATACATTAGTAGGCTGTGACGGAAACGCCTTTGCAGTTATGAGATATGTGTGTAATGCGTTCGATGAATCCGGCCGAGTACTCAAACGTCCTCATGTTAGTACGAAAGCCAACAAGGACAACTATATGTCCTTGGCAATGTCGGGTAATTACAATGAATTACTGAGTCTTTCTATAGATGTGTTGGAAGACATCAATGATTCATTGGAAAAAGCCGGGTTAATCGAAACAAAGAAGATTAGTCCTATTGAAGCATTGGCTTTGCTGAAGGAACAAGGATACGAGGTAGAACTATGATTCAGCCAGATTACTATTTACCCGGTAATCGTAAAGACTGGGCAGAACTGCGCAGTCATTTTGATGCTGAAGGATACCGCTGGAATGGTTTTATGTTTACCAAATGGCTTGATAATGATCAACGTTATCAAGTACCAAGGTTGGTAATGTTTGAGTTAAACAGTTGTCAATGCTACGTATATTGCTATGAAGCACCGCATAGTGAAACCAACGACTTAGCATGCCCGCGTTTCTATCGAAAAAAGATCGATAACTGGGATCGACTGCCTAAAGATGAGTTAATTGAACTAATCCATCAATCCAGCAAAGCGGTAACCCAATGGGAAGCGTGGATGAACAACTATGAGCTTGAACAAATACTGGAGACTCTGTGAGACACACAACTAAGCTATACAGAAACGTTGAACAACTGATGGAAGACATGACTAATGTAGAGTTGGAATACATGAAGAAACCGACTCCAAGAGCCAAGGCTCAGCTGATGAAGGTGATGGATCGATTTACCATATTGTCCGAAGTTATCGCTGGCATTACGAAGTAAAAACTTCTATTAAGAACTTATTTACTGATATGGCATAATTCGCTATATTTACTATGTAAACAATACAAGAGAGGTTAATATATGGCTTTAAGCTTTACTGGAAGTGACTTATATGCAATGCGTTCTGAAGTGCACAATCGTGCTGGTGCATGGAGTACTGAAATCGCATGCTATACTGCAATTGGCAAGATAATATGTAAAACATTAAATACCCCGTCTACTCCCAATGACATCCGCGAAAAGTATAACAACTGGTATGACGTAATTCGTTTTCGCCAGACTCATCTGTTGCCGGGTGCGACATATATGAAGCTCGATGATTTCACAAAGCCGTACGGTGTACCTGAAAGAACTTATGACCTGAATACCGTATTTGCTCAGTGCTGTCTCATGTATCCCGAGTTCGATATCTGGTTTGCTGAAGAATCTCGTAAGGCTCAAATCCAGAAGGAAATACGTAAGCAGAACGCAGAGACTAACAAGACCCTCATGAACCTCGACAACGAGTATGAAAGTCTGAGAGTGTTTGTGTATGACCTGCGCAAGGCAATCGACAACAAGGCTTGTATCAACTACGGCTCTGCCAAGCTCACTGTATATGCATGGGCACCTGGTACTAATCGTAAATACCGCACTGGTACAAAACTTTACTCTCTTGATTCTCGTAAAACACCGTTGACTGCGGAAATACTTAAAGCTGCTGCTGATACTATCCTGGAATCCTGCGGCGGAGGTTGGTAATATGATTCAGTTTATCGCACAATCACCTGGTGCAGATGAATATGTTGGTGATATACTGACTGGTGAATACTACATCGTAGGTGATTTCGGAATAAAGTTTCAGGCAAGAGTTTATTCCGAATGGACTGTATTTGTTGGACCAGTTGCAACTGGTACACAGTATTGGATCCGTATCGACGGCATAGACTATAAGGTTGAATCAGCTGACACTGTTGAATCATACCTTAATAGAATCCGAGTTCCTTTGCATAATGCAATCATGAACGATACCCTAGCTGAACTGGATTAAAAGTTTTCATCTTAATTGATTTACAACCTTAATAAAAATTTCTATATTACTTAATAGAGGTAAGACTATGACTTATAAAGTTGGGATGCATATCAAGATTAAACATCTGAACGGTGAAGACACCAGGTATGACGGGAAGAGCGGTGTTATTGAAAGTATCGACAGTATGGGTCAGCTTCATGGTACTTGGGGTGGACTCGCAGTAATTCCAGGTGTCGACAGCTTTATCGCCTGGGAAGAGTCTTCTATATGATTGTACAATTAAAAACAAAAAATGACGGTATATATAAAATTGATTTAACTAATTATATTCTCTGGCGTGGTGGAATTGAATTTCTCCATGTACACACAGCCCAATACTTCAAGTTGTTTGTTGATGGCACTGGCGTTCGTGATTACAAATATTATAACTATAACTGGGTTATTATAAACGATGTAGCATATCGAGTTAATGAAGACGATACACCAGAAAGTTATCTAAACCGTATTCTCATCATCGCTCATAATATTGAAATCGAAGAAACCATTAGTGTATTGGAGTAACTATGGCTCATGCTCAGCTTTGTTATATCGATTTTAATGGGCCGAGTACGGCCAGAATAGTTGACGTGGGAAACTATGATTCTAGTGATGAAACCATTAGTTTCATTATTTATGATCCTACTAGTGTCACTAGGCGTCGGTGGTTCTTTTGTTACAGCCCGTTTTACAAAAGTAGTTATAAGTCCAATGCGTTAATCTTAAACGGTATTAGATATGAACCAAAAGAAGGCGAAACCGCTAAGGAATTTATGGTTCGAATCAGAATTCCTTTACACAATGCAATGATGTCAGATATCATTGATACTGCGATTTAAAGTTATAGTAATTACAATGTTTATTTTAATATAGTAAAGCTGTTTACAATATAGACAGGTTTTTCTATATTATAAGTATAAAGAAAAGGAATATACTATGGCAGTAAAAGTACCTGAAGAATTAATTCAATATATGGTCAAAGAACCACGTAATGCACAGTTAGAAGCTATCTGCAAAATGTGGGATCAACTGCATGGCCTCATTGAAGTTGCATGTGGCGTTGGTAAGACATGGATCCAAGTTTTTACCTTTATTCGTGAAATTGTTAAAGCTGAACGAGAAAACCGCAAGTTTAAAGGTATGTGGGTTTGTCACCGACTGTTGTTAACCCGTCAGGTTATGGAAAACTTCAATAGTCTTACTAATGATTTCTTTAAAAAACATAATGTTAAATTTAAAGCGCTGAACTCTGAAGGTGATAATAGTCTTCGCGTTGTCGCTGATGATCAGATGGCTACGGGTATGCCTGAACATATCATATACTTTACGACAACGGCCTCTATTAGCGAATATGTGAAGACCAAGGCTTCAAAGTATAATGATGGCTATACTGTACTTGCGCAGAACGTATTTTCTCAGCTTGACCTTTATGTTCACGATGAAGCCCATAAGGAATTTTCAACTAAGCTGATTGATACCATTAAGATTGCCATGAAAGATAAGATGTATTATTTCTTTACAGCTACTCCTGGCGATTACCTAAAGGATTTAACTACCATCTATACATGCAACTATGCACAGGCCGTCAATGCTGGATATATTGTCAAACCGCGTTTTTATGAAACTAAAGTCACAGACTATGCAAATTTAGACGGCGTTGCTCATACAAACAATATTCTTAGAGTATTTAAACATACTCATAAGACTCGTAAGAACGAAAATGCAAACCTTATCGTGTTCTTGCCGAGTGTCGACAGTGTTGCTGAATGCGGCAAATTACTTAATGAAGTTAAGAACAACCCCAATAGAAAAGCTATCCGTAAGGTTAATATTTACGAAATCATTTCCGATAAGGATATCTCATTGAACGGCGAAGAATATAAGGCATGCTTAAGAGTTAATGGCCAAACCCATAATAATGGTGTAGCATATACCAAAGCGAAGATCCTCGAAATCATCCGTAATGACCAGGGAGAGAAAATTATTCTTAATGCCTTCATGCTTACTGAAGGTATCGATCTTCCTGAAATCAACAGTGTGCTCATTGCATGTAGAAAGTCTGATGCTTCATTGTACCAGGCAGTTAGTCGTGGTTGCCGTAAGACTCCAGGAAAGCAGCACTTTAACCTTTATGCAATCAGCGAAACTGGTATTGCCGCTGATATTCAAGAGTTCCTTACTGAACTCGCAAAACTTACTGGCGGTGAATTTGAATTCGGTGGAGAAGTTTCAGATCAAAACGATGGTTCCAATAACGATGAAGAACCAGACGAAGAAGACGGTACAAATGAAACAGACACCGCTACTCCGAAGTTTAAAGACGTTGACGTAATTGTTACGGCGATTAAGACTGATTTCGATAACTGGATTCTCATCGCGAACGACATTGGTGAACTGCAGGAAACCCTTAAGGGAAACAGTACTATTGCAAAGTTAAATGCAATTCTGGAATATACTGAAAAATGGGAAAACAGTCATCCTGAATTAATCGAAAAATATTTAAATTTCGATAGTTCTATTGCAGGTTTATTGACTGTGTAGGATTGTTGAAATATATTATTTTAATAATCTCTAGTTTACAACTAGGGATTATTTTACTATATTTTAATAAACAAGAGGATTAACTTATGCAATTCCAACCGAAAATTCCTTCACGCTTTACTAAAAAATTATTATCTAAGTTGGATAGTATTCCTGAAAATAAAAATATATTAGTGCTTAGAGAATTGTTTACCGCGATTGTTCTGTCGCGGAACAATTGTGTTACATTCGTAACAGATGATCCTGAAGCCGCTGATGCATTTAATCGTATCGTCATGATTAATCCTGACTTTGGTAATGATGATAATGTTATCCTTATATGGACAACTACCAGCAACCATGGGATGATAAGAGGTTCTATGAGTACTTCGAGCTGACCGATGAAGAGATTGCTGTAATCGAAGAGACTATTAAGTAGAGCTGAAAATAAATCTTTTAGATTAAACCATTTACAAAAGTAAATGGTTTTTCTATATTATAATATAAAATAAGGTATTATTATGGATTTTAAAGAATTTTTATACACTGCTATAGAAGAAGTAATTAGAAAAGTTATTAAACCAGAATATTTAAACCCAATGGTTAAACCGGATGAAGTTAATAACATTAAAGCTGCTGCACTGACTAAAATGAAATATACTTTTGAAGACATTGGTATTAAAATTGGTGATACTTTATATTTCTACCCGCAAAGAGATTCCGCTTGTAAAGAAGAATTTTATAAACGTAATCCAATTCCAGTTGTTGTTGTCGATACTACTAGTACATCAAATAATGTAGAAATTGGTGGGATTATGACAACTGTTAACAAATTTGTTAAAGATAATCAAATTCATGCTGGTAGGCAAACAAATTGTCGTCAAGGTTTGTTTACTGAGAATGAACATAAAGCAATCCAGATAGAATTAAATAGTATGGAGATTAATCCGTTAACAACTGGTGACCGAAATACATTATTAAAAGTTTTAAAAACTCACAATTCCATTTATGATATTGCTAAACAAAAATTTGGCAGCAACATTGAAGATTAAATTTTATATTAAAAATAGTTACATAAACAAATAACTTTTTTATATTATGAATATGGAAATAAATACTTTTAAACCATTAGTCGAATCTAAAGCACTTAACCCATACCATAAGAAAGAATATGGTATTGTAGAATATTTGTCTTCACCTAATGAAATTGCAAAAGAATTTTTCGATTTCATGCAGACTACTGGCTATAGTGAATATAAGGAAACTAATTATCTTCGCAATATCATTAAGTCATACTCTATAAAATTAAAAAACAAAATTAAAGAAGAAGATGAATCATTAAAAGACGGTAGAAACTATAACGTTGCGCCTATGCTCAATGATTCTGATATACAAACTCTCATCTGGAAATGGCAAGGCAATATCATGGAAATTATTGCTGGCAATATGTTTAGTCAAGATTGCCATCCGTTTACAAATAAGTATATGTTTGATTCATGGGTTGGTAATGATATCAATGATGCTGGCGTTGACGGTTGGCTTAGACATAAGGTTGGAGGCAAATCAAGCAATTTCTTTATTGGTGTCCAAGTTAAGTATCGATTTGAAACCGATGTTAAATGGAATGACCAAATCACTAAAGCTCTCGCGTTAACCGACGAACGAGTACGAGAACTATATAGCAATAATGTAATTACTGATGCAGATTGGTGTTATTGGGGTAAGCATATTAAACGTCGCGCACTTATTGTAACTACTACAAAAGTATCTGATTCGATTACTAAGAGTATCGGTATTAACGCATATGATAAGATTGATGAAGACGACTTAATTGAATATTTGGGTTGTAAGAAAAACATTAATGGAAATAAGTTGTTCTGGGAAAACACTTATAATAGTATTCTGTAAATTTCCAATATCTTTTTATTTGGGTTAAAGGCATCTGAGTTTTCTCAGGTGTCTTTTTTATTTTAATAAATCCAGAACATTTACAAAAGTTTACATTCCTAATATAATTTTCTATATTTAAAGGCATGTACGTAGAATTTAAAAAACTCAGATTTAAAAATATATTATCATACGGCAATAGCTTTACTGAAGTAGATTTTCAGAAAGGCATTAACTTAATAAAAGCCGCAAACGGTTCCGGTAAGTCTACGATGCTAGACGCAATGACCTTCTGTCTCTTCGGTAAGCCATATAGAGACATTAAGCTTGCCAAGCTAGTTAATGAGACTAATGACGGAAACATGGTCACAGAGGTCGAGTTTAACATAGCCAAGGATTCTTATAAGATTGTCAGAGGTTACAAACCCGCCTTGTTTGAAATCTATAAGAACGGCAATGAGATCGATCTGCTCTCATCCAAGAAATTAAATCAGGAAGAAATCGATAAGCTATTAGGTATTAACTTAAGGCTATTCAAGAATATTGTATGCATCGCTGCAACCAACAATAAACCT